GATAATGATTTGTAAATTGTAAATTGTAGAGTAGAGAGTATAGAATGAAAGTTTCGTGGGAAAAAAAATGTTGTAATGGGTTGGGTATTTATAGAAGAAGAAAACTAGAAAAGTAGGAAAAAAAATTTAAAAATAGTGACCAAATAACTGTTCCGGTGAAATACCAGTGACCGTTTGGTCACCAAAGTGATCGGAACAGTCACTGAATCAGTGATCGTTCTGGCACTTGTCATAAATTTATTTTTTTTATTTTTTATTTTTTTAAATATACTAAACGAGCCCACGAGCCTGTGGGCTAGTTTCACGCCGAGCCGCTCGTGAATAGTGACGAGCTGAGCGTGCTTGACTCGTCAGCGAGCCAGCCCGCTCGGCTCGTGCTCGTGTTCGCTTTTTAACGAGCCCGAGTGACTCGTGGGCGTGAACAGTACGAGCCGAGCGGGTGAGCCGACGAGCCGCTCGGCTCGGTTGACACCACTAAGCACGATCCTAGACATCCAACAAACATGGAAATCACATTTTAACAAGGAAAATTAGCTGGATGGTCCCAAACCTTTTTCCGTTCTTGATTCTTTTGTTTCAGACCTTTTAATTTTGGTGCTGAGCTCATCAACTTATACCATTAGGTGTGCAATTGATCTTTTTGGATGGATTCCATTAAAAATGACCTTTAATTTTATGCATGGACTGCATTTTCTTTCCATTGGTTTTCATTGAAGAGACAATTTATCAAATTAAAAAAAAAAAAGAATAAAATGTAATCATCTTTTCAATCATGCTACTTCTACAATTTTTTTTACGATCTTGGTTGACAACTCACACTTGACAACATTATATTCATCTATTTCAAAAATTATTTTTAAAATAATTATCCAAATTTTGACAACACCAAGATTTATCAATCATAATTGTCAACAAGTATTGTACAACAATGTTAATTCTCTTCCTTTTCCACCTTGCCCACCGCCACAGCCATAATTTGCAATTTTAGAACACTTTGAAATGATAAAGCGTAGAAAATAAAAATAGAATACACGAATCTTTTTCAGTAAAAGCTAGTCCTAGAGACGACCACTTCCAACATCTAATCCTTGTTGAGCATCCACAAAATAAAAGTAGATAATGCTTGTAGCACTAACATAGCACCAAAATGGCTATCAAGGTACAACCAATGTTCCAAATTAAAGATATTAAGCTACTCTTGCTTACCAAGTAAAACGAAAAGACAAATATAGATGAAGTAGAAGATGCAAAACTAGGGTTTATCGAGTGAGGAGTTCGAAAGAGAGTAGATAGTAAGGTCTTTCAAAATCAAAACCAAACATTACCAGAAGACCAAGGGTTAAGCCTTATCCAACGACCACGAACAATCAACATGTCACAATCTTAGCAAAATCTTCCATTAACAATAGTGTCATCCTACAAACACAATTTTGATAGCGCACTTCACACAAGTTTAGTACTGAACAAAACATGATTAAAAATAAGCCCTCCGTTTGGTTTGAATTAAAATTAAATTAAAATCTCAAATTAAAGTTAATAATTAATTTTAACCACACATATTTTATTGGATTTACTACTTTTCAATCACACATTTCATTACATTTTTATCAAAATTTATTAAAAATCTAATTTCAATCAATACCAAAGGCTAAGTGAAGACAGAGAAAGGAAAAAGGAAGGCTCTCGTGTAACTAAGAATTAATGAAATAAATTTAAGTGGTATATATATATTTGTACCACAAAATAAAGACACTTCATTTAACGAGAAGTGACTTGCACAACTTTTAAAAGTCTCGGGATTTTAAAAGTATTATTTGCTATAAATAAAGTAGGTCCGATTCTGTTTGCCTAAAAAAGAAGAAAGAAATTTTAAAGAATCAGATTTTCCAACCTCGTCCAGATCTAAAATGATGCAAATGAAAAAGTCACGGAATACTCCTAAATTTGATAGGCAAAGTCTACTAATTTCTAGAGAATACTGAATAATTTTACGGAATTTAAGAGAAATTGCATTGTTTTATGACAATCAACAAAAACAACAAAGTCTTATTAAGTTATAAAAAGTAAAATCTAATAGAGATAGACAAAACTCTCGAATTGAATCGGATCGAACCCGAACCGAATTGAATCGAACCGAACCGAATCAAGAGGTTTTTCATAAGTTAAATACCTGAACGAGTATCTGAATCGAAAACCGACGAGTTTGGTTCGATTCTCGGTTCTAGATCTAGAACCGAATAAAAACCGAATTTAAATAATTTTTTTAATTTTTTATATTGAATTAATTATTTATTTAATTTTTTTAAACAAATTAGCAAATTAACTAATTTAGTTATTAATGTTCTAAATCTCAAGTTAAATTCATGCCTAACTAGCCCAGCCCAGTCCAACCCAATTTCTAAATTCAATTTTTTGATTTTATTATTAATTTCATTCTTAGCCTAAGATCTAGACATTTTTAAATTTTAATTCTTCTCTTTCTAATTTCACACTTTCATTCGGTAACCACCGTGTCACTGGGCCCAAGTCATTTGATAAATTGAAAACCTACATCTATCTGCCCAAATCGAAACAGCCGGCTGCCGAGTCCGACTTCCCCTCTCTAATGCCCATCGAAGCCGCGACCTCTAACCACAACCACCGATCGTTGACCATTAAAAACCTGTTAAAAAATTTAATTATGGTACGGAACCAAACTGAACCGAATGGAACCGAACCTGAATGATTTCATAATCATATTTGGACACGACGGTTCCATTTATTAAATACCCAAAATTTTTGGTTCAGTTACAGCCTTAAAATCTAAGCTTAAACAACCTAATAAATCAACCCTCCATTCAGTTTATCATAACAAGTCATAAGAATAATGCTATTAATAGTAATGACTACCGACATTTATCCTACATAGCATACACGTGGTAGATTTTTATTTGATGTATGATGCA